TTCAAAACTTGCTGAAATCCTTGAAATAAAAAGTGACGTAATTGTTTTCCTATTAAAAGTCTTAAATTCCTCCTTTAAATAAAACCCAATTTTTCTTCACAATTATCTTAAAACCAATGCCGACATTTACAGAAGTAATTTTATTAACAAAATCTTAGTACTTGGTGTGGTATCCACAATGGATTTAAAAACTTTGTCATTTTTAAAGTAGTGTGAAATGTGAAAATGTGGTTAAAAGCCCGTTTTTAAAGGGGGATAATGATTAGTGGACTCTCCCTCTTTACCTGGTGAAAATGAAATAATTTTCTATTGCTAGATAAGGGGAATAATTGTAAAGGATATTACATTTAAACGTTATTTGGATTTATGACTGAAAAAAATTATGAACACATGCCAGGAGTGAGACAATTTTGGACTAATTCTTCAACACTTTAATGTCACAATTGCAATTTTATGCTAATAGATATCACTTTATTACACAACTTATAAAAAATCTTCTTAACCTGTCGCATTGATATATATATATATTAAGTGTGGGTTATAAAAACTGCCAGAACACATTTCTTTGGTTTGAGGGTGTAGAGAGTTTTAAATATTGATCTACTGTGACCATAGGCAGTGATTAACATTCTCTTCTCCAGGAGGCCTATGCTGGGGGCTAGATAAGAGAAGCAGAATATGATGCCAGGGATTCTAATCACAAAGTAGAGAGTCAATTTGATGTATTCTAGCCCACCTCTTTGTTTTTTTTTTTCAGTATCTCCTCCATTGTCCTGATTTAATTATTTCAGTTCACTTCTCTAGTTTGCCTGGGTAGCTGCTTCCCAAGACCCAGATTTGTCCCAGCAATTTTAGAAAAAGGTGCATTCCAAATATCATATGGGCATTTTATGCCTAAAGAAGATACCACCAGATGAGAGAGGATTCTGAGACCACCAAATAACAGTGTTGCTAAACATTAAAAACTGCTAAATGAACTTGATACTCCATCTGAAGCTTTTGATTCTTTGTCAAACATATTATATATACAATGTTAATACTTCGTATCTCATCTCATTAGCTAATCCTCCTAGAAATTAAGCGGCTGTGAGGTAAATACAAGTAATAAAGACTTCAAAACATAGGACCAGGTTTAATCCAAGATGAGCAAAATGAATTTAAAATTATAAAACTAAGGCACTGAAAAAAATCAATTTATAAGAACTAGGAATAAATACTCCTTAAAAGGAACTAACCCTCAGAAGGAAAAATGACCTGAGAAAAACAAATCGAGTCACAGATCTACATTGCTAATGTTCTTTTTCACTTCCACTAGTCTTTCAGCATTTACTTGTTATCACCGCTTGAAATTCACTTATCATATTTAGCATTAAATGTTACAGTGCAAAGTAAAATAAAGCATAGTCTAAGAAAATGTAGAGCTTCTGGAACCATAGGTTTCCTGAAAAATAAAGACCCTTTGTCTAATGAAAGGAAGTAGGTGATTTACAAATTCATCATCACTGATTTAAAATACGTTCAGCACGTCCTAGGTGATAGAATGCATTTTTAAGGACGCTAAATCTTTTTATGATTAGAGATTCACAAATTTCTAAACAGGCTACCACCGTGTGGTACCAGTCAGAATGATGCCAGTACTTACCATTAGAAGAAGTGGTTTTCAGTGTCGACATCACTTTTAAGCCCCACATTCTTTCCTAACCTTGCCACAAAGCAGATCTGAATTGAACTGACTTATATACAAATGGCTAATGTGCAATTTCCAACCTATGGACTTTAAACTGTCTACTCATCCTAATGAGAATTCTCAATCATATTCACTTTTGGCTGCGTTCTATACTGTGTCTTCAGGGGCTGACTCATTCCACACTCTACTCATGTAGCTTATCATTATCTTGTCCACAAACTACACATTGAATTCAGATGAGAATGCCCACTGACTTGGGAAGCTTAAGAAAGGTATCATCATTGTGGTCCAGGTGGCATGACCACTAAGGGAAATATTACAGCCAGTGTGAATTCCTCCCCTCCCCAGCAGTACTAAATATGCAAGACAAACAAAAAAATCACAGTAACTCCTTGTGACATATTTTCCTTAGTAGTTTATTTGGGGAATCATTTTTCATAAAAATTGGCAAAATCCAGATGAACTTTGCACATTGTTCTAACAGCTTCATTTAAAAATAATTATATGACTCACTTCCCCATTTACCGTACGTTGCTAGCTTTCTCTTAGTTTATTAATTCTGAAAATATTTAAGCATTTTGGTCTAATGAGCTTTACGTGAACAAAGGAATAATCTGATTATCACATGATGTTAATATGAAAATGAACAAGAGACCTTTCGGATGGAACATTCTCACTCTTTACCTCAAGACAGGTGTTCTGAATACATGCAAATGTTGCAGACAGATGGCTCATTGTATTTCCACACTATAAAGTTAAGATAATTTACCCCTCATTATAACATTCCAAGAGTTATCAGTGATGCTTCTGCTATTTATATTTTTAAAATACTTAGCCTTCAGTATGATAATCGGTGCTGTCTATCCTAAAGCTAAGGAGAGAAAACAACCACATCTTCTATCCACCACAATCAAAACTTCCTGCTTTACTTCATTGCTACAATTCTGGATCAAGAATCCAAGTTCATGAAAGAAAATGAAACAATTCACAAAGCCGAACTTTGGGTTATCATACTACCTTACAAGTATGTTAGTTATTTTATTCCCAGGATGTCTTACAAGATCCAAACCCTTTGCTAGAACAATATTTTAGGAATTTGAAATTATTTCTGTACTTCTCACTACCCAAGAATCTGACAGCTGGTATTAAAAATAGTATTCATGTAGGAACTCCTCGGTTATTAACTCCCTCAAGTTTTAAAGAACTCAAATTATTGAATTTTCTTTCTAAGAACTAGTGAAGAGGTTTATGAAAACACATGTCAAACTATTCATGTACTATTCTCTCACCAAATTAAATTGATTCCTACTAATACAATATATTAAGACCTATTACGATACCCAGTGGTCAGTCTTTACCTTTCCAAATATCCTTCTCCAGTATCCATAACCATGGACTGCTCTGTCTTCCCTCATGCTTCTTTTATTGCTGAGTGAGGCACTCGCTCCTTCATTAAATAGCATTAAAAATAGATTGCACAGAACTCCCCAGTGGAGCATGCTCTAACAGGGATAATGCCACAGTTCTCAAGGTAACCACACTCAACTGGGATCTAAGAAGAAAAGTCACTGGGAAATCTAATAGCAAATACAAACCTGTCTCAGTCTGAGCTAAATACTATAACAGATAAATCGGCATGAAGTTAAATTAAGTCACTGACAAGCTGAAAGTCAATTTCTGGAGCTGTATAAGTTTCATTAGGTATGCCCCACCTAAATAAAGTACTCGGTCTAATAGACATTCACACAGTAACTTAGTTGTTGTAGTTATCAAATAACATAAATCATGACATATATGCATAGCCATCTAAATGTCTTAAAAGTACACGTCAGCCAAATTGCAATAGTATTGATAATCAAAGACAGTAATCAGTGATCACTTTGTATTGTTTTGTGATATGGAACTGTATTCCTCAAAGAACACACCCAAACTGATTCTCCAGACAATTTAAAAATAATCTGCTAGTTGAAGTGATAAAAAGTAAAAGAATGTGATAACAAAGGAAATATAGGATCAAACACAAATACATACCTTGAAAACCCAAATAAACCTGAAAAGAATGTACACGCAATCTCTCACATGTGATTCACATTAAGAATGCAGCAGAAGCGATTACTGCCAAGATAGGAGACTACTCGGCTACTTGAACAAAACACAGACAGAGCTGTTGGCTTCCAAATGTCTGTCTTTTTTGAAAATGACATTAACTAAAATCCTAATAAGACATGCACATCCTGTAGTAACACATAGACAGAGGATCAAAGGAGGAGGTGTATTTATTTAAAGTATGTGTCAAAGATTTTCTGACTTTTACCAAATGAAAAATGATTTTTCTCTCATCTCCACTTTTATTTACTTAAAACAATCATAGCAGTTTTGACTTCCAAAGCAGTTGAGGAGGGAGTAGGAATCATTTGGATATACTCTGCCTTGAATAAAATCTTAAACACTGTATCTCAACTTTGGGGAATGTCATTCTTGTTTGGAAATGCCAAAGTGTCATAACAGTGGATTTAAAAAATCTAAAATCAAAATGAGTATCTACACTCTCAACACATTCTCAGAAAGTGATTTCCACCAGCCTTACATTGTAGTTCTTAGCTTCCCATCCCTGTAACTTTCAATTTCTTCTTTGTTTTTCCTCTTAGGCTTGGTTTCTGTCCTTATTTTGTGTCTTCAGGAGGTGATAAACTATGAACGAGAGCAGATGACAGCAACCACATCCACTCCAGCTATATTTCTATGCATAAACATTGAGTGAGCTAATTTCCTCTTCCCAAGAAACTTTCTAAACACCTGTCTACTGCAACTCAATTCCACCATGTATTTACAACCTAAGAAACAAGACGTTAAATTGGAGGTTGAAGTGAAACACGCATTTCATGCATGTACAAATAAAACTGAACATCTTTTTTTTTTCTTTTTCTTAAACCCCTTGGGCCCTAACACCCCAATGCTACCAGGACAACAGATTACAACTTTCTTCTATAGTTCTCTTTCAAATGAAATAACAGCATCCCAAACTTCCTACCATAAAACCTATATGAATTCTCCTATGAAAAGCATTGCTCTTCTCTATTTGCTTCCAGCTTTCCATTGCTGTCTCATTTGGGGGAAGGGAAGTCCACCCTTCCTTCAATGAAACACAAAAACACAATACACCTATAACAAAAGCAGTTTTCTACAAACATGTAGAAGCAATACAGACGATAAACAATTCAAAAGAAAGACACAGATATACAGAAGAAAGAAGGAATTAAAAAAAATCCACAAAAGGCGTGCAATGTTCACGTCGGAAGACCTTGATTATTACCTTGGTCGAACAGTGGATATCCCCCCTGCGTCTTGCTGCCTTGATTGGTTTGATTTAGTTTTTACTTTTATTAATTATTGTTTCTCAATTATTGATTTGGCTTGATTGGTTTGGTTTGGCTTGGCTTTGTTGTTGTTTTGGGTATTTTTTGTTTGGTTTTGTTTTGGGGGGCTTTGGTCGATTTATTTAACTGGTAGTAAGGAGCTCTCTGCAGTGTAGGCTGGGCTCCCCGCACAGCTGTGGCAACGCGGCTGCTGCGGCAGTGTGAGTTCCGGCTCGCGTCCCCTCTGCCCGGCTGCGGGTGCTGCTCCCGACACTGTGCTCGGAGGGCGCCTTCTCGGTCCCGCTGGCCGCGTGGAGGAGACGCGCCCCCGCCTCCTGTCTGCTTTTCAGTGGGTCTGCGCGTCTGTCAGTCTGACGGTCTGTCGGTGAGTCTGGCGGCTCAGCGCGGGATTTTCGCTTTCCTGCGCTCTGCTCTGAGCAGCCCCTCTCGCAGGCTGCCAGTCTGTGTTGGTTTGTCTGTCCCTCCGCGTTCCTCCGTCCCACCAGCAACGCAGGGTCCCTCTGCCCCTCTTCCGGCCTTCCGTGCCACAAATCTCCTCGCACTGTGTGCCCCTGGCCGCGTCCCTCGGTCGGAGGAGGGCGTCTGGAGGGCGAGAGCACGCGACTGGTGTCTCTCTCTGCCTACTTAACGCTCCCTCTCCCTTTGCATTCTGGTCTCCCTCGCTCAGGCTGTCTGACGGCTCCCACCTGTCCCCTTAGTTCTGCCAATCCCCCCCTTAGCCAGCCAGCGTCGGCCGATCGCTCCGTCCCACTTTCCCTGCCTGACCGCCTCAGTCGTCTGCCCCTTCGCGGGTCCGTGCCCTCCCACGCGGCTGGCACTGCCGCCGGGGGCGGCGCCCAGCTCCTCCCCGCAGCCCCGGATGCGTCCGGTCCCCGCCCGAGCGGAGAGAACGCGCGTGTTGCACGTGGCTCCGCGGCTTCTCGGGCCGGAGACCCGGGTCTCGACTCGCCACACCCAGGGGTGGCTGGAGCTGGGCTTCTGCCGGTGTCTCGATTTCCGTGCGGCGGGGCGCGACCAGTGAAGGCTCAGCCCGAGTGCCGGCACCTGCTGGGTGCGCCCGACGCTCACAGTACCACTCATACTCCGGCAATACTCCGCCAGCCCCAAGGCTGGAGACAAAGCGCATGAGCCACGCGCGGCAGCGTGATCATCATTAATCAGAAAGAAAACTGGCACGTTGCCCCCTGCCCCTCCACACTGCCTGCCAGCTCCCAGCCTGCAGTCACGCACTCCCTTCCGCCCCCTTTGCCCGAGCCCTCTAGCTTACAGCTCTCAGGGGTGCTGCCGGGTTCCTGGGGACACTTGGCGAAGCCTTGCTTCAGTCTCTTCCTCCGGTGTTCACTCTCCAGGCCAACTCTGCAGAAACAATCTCACAATAATAACATCTCACCCCACCGGCATAAATCCGTAGCCTCAGAGCTCTTGGAGATTCTCCGCTTTGAACAAGACCAAAAGTCCGAGCGCTCAGTGCGCCAAGTGTACTCCCGGTGGGCGACTGCCCAGACCGCTGCCAGCAGAGCGCTGATTTAGAATCACCGAGGGGCTGCAGAAATCTAGCAGGGTAAGGCTTGGGGCAGGGAACAGAGTTGACACTTGAAGAAATAAAAGCGTTTATTTTACCATGTATTCTGGAGATGTACTATTTTTATTATCTGTAATTCATTTTTCCCCATTGTCTCAGGGCACACACACCACCAAAAAAAAAAAAAAAAAGAAAGAAAAGAAAAGAAAAGGTATAGTGGAGAGTAGATTTCAGGAATACCACCCACTCCTTCTGAGTGAATGTAGCCCCTACTTTTCCAACATTATAGGTCACCCCCAAGATATACCTCTCTAGCTCTCTGCCCCCAGCTGAGAGCAAGGCATTTGATTCTGGGCTTCTTTGCAAGGTTGTTATTAATGTGCAGCAAAATTATAGTTGTGCACTCCCACATGGAGTTGCCAAAGCTCATTTTGACAGAATCCAGCAATTCAGCTTCTGAAATGTAGACACTGAATAACTATGGATCTGGCGGTATGAACGCCCCATCCCACAATAAATTAAAGAGGAGAAAATCAACTTTTACCAGCTGCAATTAGTAACCCCATGAATAGACAACAAATAAATAACAAGCACAAACCATGTCATGAAATTTTCCACATCCTTTCAGTTTCACTTATTGACACCAACCCATAATTACAGACAATATAAACAGATTTATTAAGAAAAAATGCCTTCCACATTGTTACAGAAACGTGATTTTTACAGATGTGATCATGTTCATAGATGCTAAGGTATTGGTTATAAATCTCAAACAAATGACATGTGTACTTCTAGAAAATGCTATGAAGAAAAACAGACTAAAGTTTTACTGCCCTTGATGAATAGATAATTATTTTCTGACTATTTGAAATCATCTCTCTTGGGGTTCGGCTCTTGCTGTAATAAAAATGAATCTTCTGTATGAGGTTTCCTGCAAAGCAAACCTAAAGAATTCAGGACTTTTACTTTGAACTACATCTTAATCGTTCTATCCAGTCATCTCCAAAGTGTTTTTTTTTTTTTTTTTGGTTTCTCCTTTCCTTTCAGACATATGAAATCGAAGGGAAAATTATCAAAAACATTTCTAATTCACTAACCTGCTTCCCTTTGAGGGGAAACTAAGCCAAGTTGCTCTGCGTCAAAAATAAATACGATTGGAACTGCATGGGAAGAGGGTTGATATGTTTGATATCTTTTCTGGACAGGACCACACCTGAGCATCTTCTAAATGGATGAACAAGTAATCTACACATATCAACAAGAACCCTCAGCAGCTTCCTCTGAACACAAAATCTTTCTGCAGAACAAAATAAAACAATCTAATTTTACTCCAAGAGTTCACTTTAATAAATGGAACCCAATCCTATAAACTGGATTAGAAATTATAGTTATTGAGAGACAGGAGGCAGAACACCATCAGTATTCTGAGTACAACCTCTAGTGATTATATAGAAGAACAAAACAATGTTTTCGAATCTTAACAGTGTACAGATAATTTGGTGACGAAATTTATTGCAGTTTCTCATGGATGTTTAAGATTTATTTTAAAAGGAAAACATCCCAAAGACGAATAGCATTAATTTGCTTCCCCTAAATTTTGCACCTTTTTTTTTCATAAACAAAATAGGAACTGGAGAAGGTTCCAGTTTATTTGAGGCCACATAAATAATTAGCACTCAGCTACTCAATTTTAAAATTTTGTGTCCCAAAGTGGGACTGAAATATACTCCTGGGAATATTAGGCAGACAGTGAGCAATAGTGATTCTTTTAGGCATTCATTAGATGTTTGTATGTCCTTAAACAATATGAAACAGTTACCACTTTTTAAGCCCCTTACCCTGCCATATGTTATCAACCACTAAACAATGACTATCGTCTTCCTTTTGGACCTCTGGGTGCCAGATTCAAAATGCCAGTGGTAGAATGTTTATCTACCAAAAGCACCCTGGCTTTAAAGAGGGTAGGTAGTAGTGTGGGGAGGGGTAGTGGTGCTGTTACTATCTTGGCTTGAGGGCTTTTTAGTTTATTTGGCATTATGTTTGAAATGAAGGAGCATGCATGTAGCCAAGTAACCCCAGCTTAGGGATTTGAGCTCACCTACACACTGGCAAACACCTAAGATTGTTGACAAGCTCCTTTAAACACATATTCCCTTAAGACACTAAATTAGTGCCTTTAATGAAGCCACTAAATTGGATTTTCAAAACTAGGCAAATTGCTGAAATAGCCCAACTACCTTTATAAGCACCTTTTCAGCTGAAGCGAGAAGTAGAGTTTCCATGCTGTTGAACTTCCATCACTTGTCAACAATTAGACTGTGAGGAACTCCCCTTTAGGGCATACTCCCCCAACACAACAAAGGCCCACCGATCCCCCAGGGACACTTCTCCTTTGCCCTGTTTTCGACAAAACTGGGATCTATTAAATAACAGCCTGGGTTTAAAGCTTTACAAACTTGCCTAGTACAGAAAGGTGCGGGGAGGGGGGGGAGGAAAAAACCCCAAAGGATTAACATTTCAACCAGAAAAGTTTTAGAGCCCCATTCTTATTTTGTGCTATGCCAAAATAACTCTAAAACACATTTCAGAACATCAACAAAGAATGTTACATCACGTATGCATCTGAGCATGAAGAAATGTCACGATCAAAAACAAAGAGGACTTGGGAGACTAGAAACCAAATGTTCTGATGGCACAGATCCCTTCACGGCAGCCGTGTCTCCTCTGTAGTGGGCTGTGCACAGTACCAGAAAATTATCTCCATGAGCACGTGGAGTTATCATAGGCAGACACAAATGAATACAGGCCGGTACACACACGAAGAGGTGTTGTGCTGAAACTGCAAACCAAAAAATTCTCTCAGAAATGAATGTGCATAGTACTTTCATAGAGATGCATCTGAATTAGAGGAGGGACAGTAAGAAGAAATAAGAGGAGACAGCTACAGAGAGGTTCAGGAAACTTGTCACTAAAACATCTGAATATCAGAAGACTAGAAAGGCTGCTGACTAAATTGCCTATTTCTTTTCGACATCTCTTGGGATGAAGCTACCCTCATTCAGACACATTCTTAGTAGCTGAGGGTTTTCTCCTGCTGGTCCTCGGAGCACTGTTTCCTCCTCTGAACTCCCTGCCCAGAGGGGCCTCTGGCTGAGGCAGGCAAGGCAGGTAGCAGAGCACAGATGCAGGAGCTCTTTCTGACCAGATAGGGGTAAAGGCAGGGTGTCCAGCTAAAGGCCCCTCTCCCTGCTCTGTGTTATTGCTCCTTTCCAGGACCTGCTTCAGCATCACCTATTTGCAGTCTCCTAAGGAACTTACAAAAGATGTTTCTGATTTTCAAAACCTACCATAGAATTGAAAGCAAACATGAAACAAAAGCATCAGGATCATAAGTGGGGAAAATCCAGGTCAACATTATCCCTTCCAACACCAGCAGTGATGGTAAGAGCATAACCTGACATTTGCCGACACCACTGTCTGTGACCCCAGATTTCTTACGTTGCTTTTCCACAGATCACATGTCCTTCCACTATTAACACTATTTATTTTTTCACACAAATGAAAACGAAGTTATTCAGAACTTGGAATAATGTGGCTTCCTGACCCTGAGATGATATGAAAAGTTCTATCAATTAGCCACTGGAATGGAATAGCTACATCCATCTCTAATGAGATATAGGAGATTTACATTTTTCAACTGTTCTCCATACCTTAACGGGGTGTGTGTTTGTGAGAGAGAGAGAGAGAGTGTACATGTGTATTTCTGGTTAAAAGATAAAACATATTCACCCTGCTAATACTTCAAAAGAGTACTTAGGTCTTCCTGGAAACCCAATTGTGGGCCAATACCCAACATCTGAAGATGAACAATACATAGATATATTATTCTGTGTAAATGTGCAGCTTGTTCTCCAAAGCTACACTTTAAAGTTCCTTTTACCTTTTCTTAATAAATTACATTTGCAAAATGTATAGAGACTTACTGTAAGAAAAAAGGGGGGAACAAAATAAAAATCTCCTAATATGCCACCACCCAAACTCCCATCACTTTTGAGCTTAGCCAATCTCCCCGCATATATGTATATATTCATAAAACTATAGCTATATTTTGCATATACAGATTACAGAATACATGCTACTTTTACTGTTTCCCTACTTTATAATCTGCTCTACTTTAAAATAAGTCACGAGTTTTTTTTTTTCTTGTGGCATTGACTATATCAATACATTAGTAACAGCACAGTAGCCTATTAAATGCAGAATATGTGTATGTTATACATGAATAAAAGCTATTGGTGAACATGGTTTCCAACTGCGGAATTTTTCCCTTTAGAAAAAAATGTTTAAAATTTGAATTTCCAATTCAAAGAGTATCTGTATTTTACATTTGGGTACAATATTAAAGATACTATGTGGGGTTCAGAAAATCTCTTGTTTTGATTACTAATTTTATTTAAGAGTGACTGACCTTTGATTTCCTAGTATAAACTAAATAGATTTAAAAACACACCTGTAAAAACATTTAAAGCATAATTTTCAGTACATATTTTGAATAAATTATACTGGATTAATGAAAAAAACTTTTCTTATGAAAAGAGAATTT